TGGATGGGCCACGCAGTGGAGGAGGAACGGGCTGGATGGTGGCACTCGAAGAGTTGCAGTCAGTGGCTCCATGTCCAAATAGAGACCAGAGGCAAGCACTGCTCCGCAGGGATCAGTACTGAAGCAGGTGCTGTTGAACATCTTTGTGGGCACCATGGAGAGGGGGATGGAGCACCACCAGGAAGGTTGCTGGTGACACCCAGCTGTGTGGTGAGGTCAACATGCTGGAGGAAGGGAGACCATCCCGAGGGAGCTTGACAGGCTTGAGAGGCGGGCCCGTGCCAACCTCATGAAGTTCAACAAGGCCAAGTGCAGGGTCCTGCACTGGTCTGGGGCAATCCCAAGCACAAATAAAAGCTGGATGGAGAATGCATTGAGAACAGCCCTGAGGAGATGGGGTGATGGTGGGCAGGAAGCTCTACATGAGCCAGCAATGAGCCCTTGCAGCCCAGAAAGCCATGTCCTGAGCTGCATCAAAAGAAGCATGGGCAGCAGGTCAAGGGAGGTGATTCTCCCCCTCTACTCCACTCTCATGTGACCCCACCTGCAGTACTGTGTCCAGTTCTGGAGCCCTCAGCAAAAGGACATGGAGCTCTTGGAGCAAGTCCAGAGGAGGACCACAAAGATGATCAAAGGGCTGGAGCACCTCTGCTATGAGGACAGGCTGAGAGATTTGGGGATTTTTAGCCCAGAGAAGAGAAGGCTCTGGGGACCCCTTATAGTGGCCCTTCCAGTACCTGAAGGGGCTACAGGAAAGCTGGGGAGGGGCCTTTTACAAGGGCGTGTAGTGATAGAATAAAGGGTAATTGTTTTAAACTGGGAGAGAGTAGATTTAGGTTAGACATTAGGAATAAATTATTGACTGTGAGGGTGGTGAGACACTTGAACAGGCTGCTCAGAGAAACTGCAGAAGCCCCCTCCCTGGAAATGTTCAAGGCCAGCTTGAATGGGGCTTGGAGCAACCTGGTCTGTGATAAGTGTCCCTGCCCATGCAGGGGGGCTGGAACTAGATGCTCTTTAAGGTCCTTTCCAAGCCAAACCATTCTGTGATTCCATGATCCCCACTGAACTCATTGTCCCCCTGCTGCCCTCCATGGCTTCATAACATCTGCTTGCTTTGAGGTTTTCCTTGTCTCTCAGCTTTCTAGGAAACCTGTTGTCTCTGCATCCTGCCACCCAAATACCAATTGCTTCTACACGAAGGCTTAAACAATTTCCTGGGGGTCTAGGATTGTATTTGTCTGTAATTAATACAGGTGAAGAAGCAGCAAGCTGCAGGATAGTACTGAGGGGAACGACTTCTCCTTTGCCAAGCCCCGGCTGCTGGGCACGATGCCTGGGTTTCCATCAGAGCCCATCCTTGTCTTGCAAGGTGGCTTGTGGGCCAGACCTTCCATGTGGTCTTCTGGCTGGCCTGTATTTGACATGTCCTCCTTGCTGGCTGGCTGCTGAGAGGAATTGCTTCCTAGCTGTCTGAGAAGGAAAAGAGTGGGGGAGGACCAAGCTGGGCACTCTCTTGCCCTCTTCCCCCACTAGAGCCTCTTATAGCTGTAGGGAGGACATCTTGTTGCCACTTCTGCTGATGTAACAGTGAATCAGACCCCCTGCTTCTCATGTGCCTGACAAAGCTGGTGGTGGAGGCAGGGAAGCCAGCTCTGGGCTGGGCAAGACAAGTGATGGTTTGTCTTCCCATTTGCCTTCGGTGCCGCCGGTGATGGCAAAGAAATGCTGCCTCCTGTCCCCCTCCTTGTGCTGCTGCTCCACCTCCTGTGCCAGTTCCTTCCCCTTCCTCCTTGAGGCCAGCACCAGCCTCTTGCAGCCAGACGGGCACAGAGCTATAATTGTCAAGAGACAGATAAAAGCCAAGAGATAGGCGTATATACATTTTTGCAGGAGAGATAATTAGGACTAGAACCTCTGCGAGGAAAAAGATCTTTCCATCATCATTACTTTATCTCCAGACAGCTACTCTAATCTCTCCAGGGACACGGCGCTTTCAAGCATCGTGTTCTTGCCGTGGCTTTTTTAATGCTCTAATCCCTGTGTAGTTCACCCACTTTTGCTACTAAGCAGCAAGTCGGGGTGAGCTGGAGAGAGTGTGTGTGTGAGGGGAGCAGGCACACGCACGTCTGATTCTGGGTTCAATCAAACGGGCTTTGGTTTTGATCAATGTGTCCCCAGGGAGTGTTTCCCTTGGGAAATGCTGGGACTGGTTGTGAGGATTATTCATCAGCCACTCCTAGGTGAAAAGCTAAGGCAAAATGGACGAAGCCAAAACTGCAGAGGGCCCAAAGAGAGGAAAGCCGTGGGGGGGAGTTTTGATTCTGGTGGCTGCAAGGTGGAGGTGCATTCTGAGGAAGGAGAGCATCCCACTGGCCTGTTCCCACCTGCTGTGGCTTAGCAAAACATGGGCAGTTGGTTTCTGGACCCTCAAACTCAGGGGCTCCATGAGTTGCCTCTCTACAATGCCTCTCTACACTCTGCCCTGTTGGGCCACCACAGGTGACGCATCCCTTAGCTGCTAGAGCAGAAGGCAGTTAGACAGCTGGCTTCACATCCTCTTGTCTGTAGTTTCCATACAGAGAGAACAGGTGCCCATCCACGGGTGAATGCAAGCCTGGAGCACCTGATTGACACCTCTGGATCTGTAAGGAACTATTATCATTGCTTTGCTCTGGCAGTTCCTTTCTTCTTCACCATTGATCACAAGTGGAAACTCTTTCAGCCCTTCTTGGCAGCCGTGATGAAATGCATGAAAACAAAGAAGTGCTGTTTGCCACACGACATCAGAGTGTATTGTGCTCCTTCGCTGAGAAACAAATGGAACCACCAACTGCAAGGTGTATGTATATATAATATATATATTGCCCTGCTCTTGTTTTTTGCCATCTCCTTCTGATAGGAGACTGGATGGCAGGCTGGACTCTTCATCAGGCACAGGGCACTCACAGACTGTCTTTTCTTGGCTGCTTCTGGCCACATTTTGGGACTTGCCCATCATCCCTGCAGACACAAGCCCTGCTGTGCCCTCTCCTCTCTGTGATGAAGGTGAAGCTAAAGGCCTGTTGCCTGCAGCCCAGGAGCTGGGTGCCGCTGCTCCACATCACCTTGGGCAGCACCAAAGGACCTGGGCAGGGGACTTGGGACATGCCAAGGTCTACCCTGTAGCTGCCCTGAGGTGGCTAAAATAGTTGCAACTCTCCAGAGGCTGGAGGAGTGCTCAGGATATCCAGAGGGGATGCTGAAGCCAGATTTCACTGGGATCAGCCCCACCACATAGCCTTGAGCTTCCAGAAGGTGATGCTGGTATGCAGGAATATGTGACTGCTGAAAGCAAATCAGCTCCCTACTCTGAAGGAGAGAGCACCCAAGCTGCATCCCTTGATCTGGGCAAGGCAGTGTCCCACATGTGCCCTTAGCTGCTGCCTCCAGTAATGTCTGCTGCTGCAGCTCTAGAAGCCATTCCTGTGCCAGATGCTCTGGAATCACAGCACATTCCCTGTGCGAGTCTTAATGAGCCTTCCTGGCTCTGGGAGGCAGCAGAGGAGGCTCCCGGCAGGACAGAGAGGCGTGGGGAGGCAATTAAGGCAGCCCCCCATTGCTAGGGCAGCACGTGTGATGGGGGCTTCGGAAGTGTCGCCTCCTGGGGTTGAAGCACAGGCTGGCGTGACCTGGTTTGAGGGGACTGCAAGGTTGAAATGCTGCAGGGAGCTGTGACCCTGGAGCCCAAAGCTGGTGGTGTGAGTGTCAGAGAGCACAGAAGCTTCCCAAAACCCACGCTGAGGCAGAGGTCCCAGGACTGCCCATGTCCCCAGAGCCTACACTGCTGGAAAGCCAGGCAAGAGCTGGAGTGCTTGGGGAATTGCAGCATTTTCTTCTCAAACCTGACAAATGAGAGCTGTCAGGCCTTTAGGTTCCCCATTGCCGTGTTTGACTTGGTCTTCTTGTTCACACCCTCCTTTTTGACAGGGGCTCTTTGAGTCAGGCTAAGCCCTCAGCCCAAGGGAAGCCCTGCAGCAGCGAGTCCCGCAGATTAGAAAAGGCGACAGCAGACCCCTTCCTCCCCTCCAAGCGTGTTCACACCCTCTTGGGGGGATTGAGGAGATCCATCTGCTTCCCCTGCCATCTACTTTTGCACCAGCCCCTGCTCAATTGCTGTAGCTTCTGGCTCGGCTCTGCTCTGCCCACCTCTTGGGTTGCCCTCAGCTCATCCCCTCTTTTATCCCCCTCCCATCTTATTTACCCAGACACAGCACAGCATCCCAGCTGAGTGCACCTACCTCAATTGCAAAACCTGTGCAGCCTTGTGAAAAGTTTCCTTCTCTGAGCCCCCACCTCCCCCAAGGGTGATGATGTTGTTCCTCATCTCTTCTATTCACAACGCGCTGTTTTCCAGCCAGCTGCCCTTAGAGAGAGACACAGGTCTTCTCCTGAGTGCTGCTGGTTAATTTAGAAGCATGCAGTGTGTGTAAGTCATGGTAATTGCTCCTTCCAGCCAGCAACACCATTGATTTGTTGTCTCCTCCTCCTCTCAAGCCCTGTTGCAGATTTGCAGCTCTTGCAAGGCTCGGCTTACGAAAAATGAATGGTCCCTTCTTGCTCTTCTCCTCCCCAGATTGGTGAGAAGCAGCTGCCGCTTCCCGCAAAGAGCCAGGGCAGGATGGAAATCAAATATTTATTCCTGGTTATCACTTTCTGTCTCCCCACCAGTTTCTAATCTCTTTATAATGCCTTTTGCTTCCTGAAGAGCCTTATACAGAAGCATTTGCCATGCACTTTTAAAAAGTCTGGATAAAATATATCAAGTTTTCCTGCAGTCTCTGCCCACCCCCCAGGTCTGACCAACTGGTTGTCACCCTCTTGGGGGAGAGGAGGACACCCTGCAGTAGTGGTGCCACTGGGCTCCCCCCATTTCTCCTGTCCCAGCAGTGGTAGAGCCACGTGTACCAGGGACATGGCTGGGGTTGGGATTGTGCCAGCATCATCCTGGGGAGAGGTGGAGGGCAGCACTGGACTCCCTGCCTCAGCATCTCCTGGTGTCCCTATGTTTCTGCTTTTCCAAGGGGAGTTCACACAGATTTTGGCATGGGCTGGGTTTCTGTGCTCTGGAAGCACAGGTTTTATGCCAGTATCCCACACCTGTGGCCAGGATGGATGTTTCCATCCTTATTCATCCTTCAGCATATCTTCTCCCTTGGCTGGCAGCCTCATAAATCTCCTTGCAGGACTCCTGCAGTTTTAATAGGAGGGTCTTCCAGACCAGTCCCCCTTTCTTTATTTAACCTCCTCCTAAATTTGGGATCCCAGGAATTGTTTGGGAAATTTCCTCCTCCAAAAGGTGCCATCCTTCCTAACTTCTGCTGTTATTTGCATGCACAGAGGTCACCTTCTGAGCCCTCTTCTGTTAGTGAAGGTGAGCCTCCAGTTCAGCAAAGCTCTTGAGCTTATGCTCCAACTCAAGTACGTACTCAGAGGTTGTTGGGTTTTTTTCTTCAAAAAAGACCTCCTTAGCCTTCAGGAGATGTGCTGAAGAGCTGAAGGTGAGAGCCCCAGAGCTTGTTTTATGGCACTAAATACCCTCCAGAAAGAGCAGCAGGAGCCTTGGAGATGGTTCTGGCTCAGCAAGGAGACCCCACAAGCAGACGAGCAATGACAGGGTCCTGGGGGAAAACTGAGCCCTCTGGCTTTGTGGACTGTTTTCGCCAAATATCGCTGGGGTTTTGCCTTTCCTAGGAGGGACAGGACCCACTGAAGGGCATAGCATCATACAGACCTGGCCACAGGTTGCTCTAGAATAGGTGTCTCCAAGAGCTGTTTTGAGAGCTAACCAGCTCTTGCCTAGCAAGTTCAGGAACTTATTACTAGTACTTAATTACATTTATACCCCACGTGAGCTCCTCACCATCACAGTCTGACCCAGAGGCCATGATTTCCTGTGGACTTCTGCTTCCCTGTTGTTAGGAAGGGGGTTCCTCCTCCACAGAGAGGAACTTCTCCCAACCCCAAAGCAGCAGCCTGTACCTCATGCTGCTCCACAGTGGGGTAGACAAGAGATGCCCACACACCTTCTCCCCCAGGGCAGTGATGCCTAGATGCTTGCAATGGTATTTCTGTAAGGCCATCTCCCTCCAGGGAGCGCCCTGGGGAAAGACACCTCAGCCTTGTGCTGGCCAGTTCCCTCTGTCCCCACAGTGACCTTGCACCCCACGGGAGGCTCAAACAGAAAACGTCACGTTTATTGTCCACAATCAGCTTTACAAAAGAAACATCCCAACACAGGCGCGCGTCAGGGGCCCCTTCCACAAATGTGCACTCGGGAAAGCGCGTGAGCAAGCAGGGAAAAGGGGCAGCTTGGCGGGGCACACAAAGGTCACAGTGTTTCCCACTTGGCACAAGGGCTGTGTCCTGTCCTCCTGCTGTGTCCCCCCTGGCAGGCTGAGCCACTCCACCGCCACAGGGGACCCCACAGGGTGGCAATGCTGGGCAACAGGGCTGTCCCCTCTGCCCACTTCGCCTCCCCCAGGCTGGGGGGCAGTCATTGCCAAAAGCACAAATAGGGACTTGGGGTAGCGGGGAGCACTGGAAGCTGGACACTGCATTGAGCAACCATGAGACCCCTGAAATACCCCCCCCACCCCCCAGACACACACACACAAACACACACACACACACTCACGTATTCCTCCCTCAGTGACCACAGAGCGTGGCAACAGCATGTTCTCAGGCACTCCAGGGGGAAAATACAGACCACCCCATAACCCCTGCCTAGTTCCAAGGCTGGTGGCAGCCCCATCCCTGGCTGGGAGCTGCTCAAAGCAGGGAACCCAGGTGGAAGTGAGGGCAGTATCCCCATCCAGTGCCCAAGAGGCCAGATTAGGGATGCCAGGGCTCCTCTGGTCACCACCATCTGCTGTCTCATTTTTTTTGCCTTGTTTTTGTTCCCTTTGCTGGCAGTGCTGTGCTCCCTCCTCAGCGTGGGCTGGAGGGAGATGCTTTGCCCCTTTCATCCTGGTCACTGACTGATGACCCTGGCTGAGGGAGTCCTGTCTTACTTCCCTCTGCCTTGAAAACCTGACATGCTTCGGGCAGCCCTGCCCAAACAGAGAGTGGAGGCAGGGGAGGGGGGCAGGCAGGGAGCAGCGCTCCACCAACCCTCCCCCATCCTTCCTGGTAGGGGAAAACGGCAGCAGGAGAAGAGGGGATGGGGCCAGTGGGGAAGGTCCATCTCCTGGTCAAGCCTTTGGGCTCATTTGGAGTACAGGCTCACTAAACCAGAGAGCAGGATGTGAGAAATAAATAAGGAAAGGGATGTGCTCGGGGGGTGCCCACACTCTGGCATCCCACCCAGGCCAGACCATGTCTGGGGGGGATGGAGTCTCCTTCCTGCTCCCTGTTGGGGCCAACAAGGCAAGGACCCTCTCCATACCAGAGACACCAACAGGCATAGTGAGGTCCTCCCAAAACAGAAGAAGGGTAAAATGAGACCCAGGGGCAGACGTGCTGGGGATGGGGACAGGCCACACTGCTGGGGTGGGGGCAAGAGGGAGGCTGCCAGGCCTCCCCTTCCCTCCCAGAACACCAGCACTGGGGGACTGAGCATCACCCCAGTGCGGCAGCGAGGCTCCCTGGTCTGGGAGGGGAGTGAGGGGCTCCCTGCTTCGGGGCTGCTGCTGGGCTCCTTGGCACTGGGGAGGGGGCGGGGGCCACTCACGCCTTCCTCCCTTCCTCGCAGGCAGTGAAGCCCCCCTTGCTGGCACCCCCGAAGACTTCCACTGCCTGGTCATCCCATTGGATCACGTTGCCTTGGAGGTGGGAGGTGCAGTTGGCCAAGCTCAGGATCTCCACTGGTGCCAGCATGTGGTCCCACACGCTGAACTGTGCCAGCTCCCCCACGAAGGCCTGTGTGGCGTCAAAGCGGCCGCCCAGCGTGTCCTGGGAAGGAAGGGAAGAGATGATGGGACAGAGATGGGGACAGCGGAAGGAACAGGCACCCAGTGGGCAAAAAGGGCAAGGGGGAGAGGGAGAAGCAGAATGAGATGCCCGATAGCAAAGATGGGATGGACACATGGAGGAGATGGAAGAAGACAAGGTGGGGAGTGAATGAAAGACAGAGGGATGGGGAGAGGAAAAAGAAGACTATGACTGCATGTGGCCCACCGGGAGGTTGGAGCAGGCAGGAGAGCCCCCCACCCAAGCTGCCAACACATCATGCTGAGCGCTCCTGCCCCTGCCCTCGCCCCATTTGGGTGCTGTTCTCCTGGCTGGCTTCTTGCCAGAGTGATGCAGACCAGCAGCCCTCAGCTGCAGGCCAACACCTACCTGCTCCTGGCCCAGGATGATGATGCCCTGGGGCTTGATGGCATGCCAGGAGGCCAGGTTCTCCCCAGCGCCCCGCTGCTCGCCGTCCTGGTACGCCGACCACTTGCCATCCCGGGTGGTCCATGCCACACAGACGTGGTGCCAGGCCTTGTCCTTCAGGCTCAGTGGCAGCTGGGCAACCTTTGCATGAAGAGTAAGAGCCTGGTGCTTTGTGGGACTGCTGAAGGACCCCAGCAATGCCCCAGCCCCTTGCAGAACAAGAAGTTCACCCCCATAGCAGTGGCTTTGCCAGTTCTATGGACATCTGGATGTGCTGCTTCTCCCTCTCAAAACCCTCCCCAGTGAGCCATCCTCCACATTATCCTCATCCTCCTGCCTCTCCCCCCTGGTCCCTTCCCCCCTACTCCCCCACATGGGTTCCCCCAGGAGCCTAATTTCCCAGGGGGACTGCAGTAGGCGAGATGTGGGCAGGGGGTTTCACCTCATCAAACCTGTGGCAGGGCTGACCTTATCATTGATGAGCAGCTCCAGGGGGTTGGTTCCCCACTCCAGGAGCACGATCTCATTAGCTTGGCTTGGGACAGAGTAGGAGAAAGGGGTGCCAAGTCCTGTGGTGGCCTTGGACTTCAGCCACATGCAGATGGTGAAGGCATAGAGCTCCGGCAGGCTCTTCTTCATGCGGGCATACATGTAGTTGTTCTGCACTGGGATGGTCACCTTGAAGGCATCGGGAGGGCTGTAGCCTGGTGGTCCTGTGTGCCAAGGATGGGGAGGAAAAAGAAGGGTCAGCACCCATCGTTAAGGTGAGGGTGGCTTGTCTGAGGACCCCCTGTGTGCCACCACCATCCCCATCGGGCAGGACTCACCATGCTCCAGCTCCATCACCCGGTTCTGGAGGGAGTTCAGCTCCTTCTCAATGTTGTGCTGCTGCTGGCTGTGGTCTGTGCTGGCAGCCTGGCGCTCCTTCTGCAGGGTCAGGATCTTGGAGAGGAGCTGCTCCTCCAGCTGCTCCATCTTGGTGTGGAGAGCATCGCGGGCGAGTGCCGGGGCAGTGGGCACCGAGCCATTGGTGCGGGCTGGCAGCTCCTGCTGCACTCAGTGACAGAAGCAATGGAGGAAGAACGGAGGGAGGAAAGGGAAAATTCAGCATGGTGTCAGCATAGGAGGTTAAATAAGGACATGCCCAGTCTGCACCACCATGGGAAGCAATGGGATCACAACAACACACCCACAGCAGGGTCTTCTCCAAGAGCCTCCAGTTGACTTTGTACCTCCCATGTCAGAGCCCCCATTGAGTTCATTACTGTGAAACGAAGCTTGGCTGCTCTTAATGACTTTCTCCTGCTTCAGAGACAGGGTGGGACACACAGGTGGTCAGATCATCACAGGCAGCCTCTCACAAGTAGAGGATAACATGGGAAGGAGCTTGGAGCTCCCCTTCCCCACTCATGTGAGGCTGCTTCACCACAGCCAGCACATCAATATCACAAAATGGGGCTGTAATCCTCTTAGCTCAGCTCAGTCAGCACGCAGGGGTGCCTGCACACGTGCCAGGTTGGTCAGGTAGCTCTCTGTAAGCATCAGGAAGCCTCTCCTGGGCCATCGGGATGCCACAGAGAAGTGAGGCTAGTGGTAGGTTCTCTGGTCCTCAAGACATGACCCATCACTTGAAGATATCAAGCACATCTTGTCCCATCAGGGTTACAACCCAGACCAAAATTCTTCCCTTGTCTGATCCAAAACCTGGTGCCTGGTTAGGATACTCCCAATCACTACTACACCCTGTGAAGATCCCAGATCCCACCTCATTTGAAGACGCCATCCTGGCTAGAAGAAAGCCAGGCTGGAAGGGAGAAGGTGGCCCTTTGCCATGCTCCTGAGGTTACTCCGTAACTGCTCTCTTACCTTCCCCACATCCTTGGGGTGTTAGGCTCTCTGTCATAGGTTTGGAAAGATGGTGACCACCTTTTCCAACTTGCCAGACATTCCTGAAGGTGCCGGAGCTGCTGTGGTGGTCCCTGCTTTACCCTCTGCCAGACCTTTGGCCAAAGCAGGGGCTACAACAGCAGCTCCAGCACCAAGAGGGGACTGCATGTCTGCTTTAACCCTGGACATTTGCATGGCTTGTGCTGGTGGGACAAGGGGTAATGCTTGATCCTGCTGATCTGGATAGCCCCCCTTGGCCTTGGAACTGGCCTGGAGGAGGTCACCACACTCATGTGTGGTAGTGGCTTCCAGCTTTTTCTTCTTCCCTACATCCCATTTTTCCAGGATGGACAGGACCTGATGACTATGCACACAAAGATGAAGAGGGGGGATGCCCGCTGATGTAACCTTGGATCTTTGCTATCCATCACAAAGAACAGAGGGGAGGGGAGGGCCAGAGGAAAGCCAGGTTTGACTGGGCAGGATGCAACTTTGGAGGATGGGAACAGCAGGGAGAGTGTAGCAGGGAAAGGGAGAGTGAGAAGATAATGTTGGCATGAGCACAAACGGCCCCCACTGGGCAGGAACACACTCAGGCTGCAAATAAGAGGGAGGCTGTGACGCTCCGGCATCCGGAAAAGCTTCCAACAGGATCTGCTGGGATAAACCCACAGGTTTCGTGAGGAAAAACAATGTGGAGATTCAAAACCCAGCAAGAAAAGGGAGGTTGTGCAGGGGACACCTGCCAGCCCTAACCAAACGCCAGCTCTCTCTGCCAGCTTGCTTCGACAGCACAGGGAATGCTCTCAAAGACAGCGAAAACTTCTCTGTGAAGGGAAAAGCACCCCTGGCAAAGTTCACCTGACCTTTGGTCTCTGTAAAACAGGAAGGGATTAGCTGATGAGGAGGGGGCTTTAGTCAGTTCTTTTGGGAAGGGGTCTTGGGGACCCATCAGTGCAGCTGGCTGAGAAGCAGGGAAGGGATGGGTAGTTGGAAGGAAAGGCCAGTGGAAAGGATAATTCCCACCCCGGGGCTGCCCGCGCTCATATCCAAGCGGAGCTGGCAGTGTTGGCAGGGGCAGTGCAGGTGGGATGGGGTTGCCTTCGCCTCTGTGTCTGCATCCCGTGGGCTCCGAGAGCTTTTCTCATCCCTTTGGGCTGGGGGCTGCAGCGGAGGCTGGCGCTCCCGTCTGCCGCGCGCTTTGATTGCTCGAGCTGCAGGTTTGGAGCCTACGTCCCTGCTTTCATGCACGGCTCCATCTGTTAATGACAAAAAAAGAAAAGGCTGGGAGCTTTTGTCACTCTTACTAGCCCCCAGTAGCCTGCCCTACATTATTCAGTAGTGACTGAGTGCTTTTTTTTCCCCCTCCCTTCCTCCTGCTTTTCTCCCTGCTGCTATTTTCTTCCTTTTCTAACTTTTCTTCCTATGGCTTTTTAATTTCTCTGGCTTTGGAGCATCTCCTCTTGATGCTCCCCTCCACACACACACACACTGTCTCTCCTCTTTTGCTCAATTCCTTCCCTTCTCCTAAATTTTTCCGGCTCCATCCCTCTCCCCAGCTCTTTCTGGCTCCTCCAGCCCAGCAGCCAGGGCACCAGCAGCCAGACCCACAGGACTGGCCAAACCGCCACTGGACCCATGTTCCTCATGGCAAGAGATGCAGCCACTACCCTCATCCAGCAGAGTTTGGGAGCCACCCCATCATCCCAGGAGCATCCCAACAGACACCATCTCCATCGCTGCTGCCAGACTATGGCTGGACAGGAGACTGGACCTCCTCATCCCACCTCCTCGCAGCCAGGATGTGCTGGGTGATGCTTCCTGGTACTGAGCTGAGCCGCATCCCCTGACCATCCTCCACGTCTCCGAGCTGTCACTCGAGCATCCTTCTCCCAAATCAAATCATTGGCACAATTATTAATGCTAGCAGTGCAGCTGTTATCTGCCAGTGACCTTTGGGGAGGGGAGAGGGGGGGAAGCGCCTTCTCCCCGGCTGTTCA